TTTTCTTTGCCATGTGACGCTGCCCAACGATTAATATAAGAACATCTCTGGGCACTAAAAGACAGCAAAATGCCAACAATGGTGGTAAAGGAGTATTGTGAGTCTGTTCCGCAACAGGTAGAGTAGTTTCTCTTCTTCTCTGGTCACAAAGAACTTCTCACCCAGTACTGCTAGCCATTGTGAAGCCAACCAACTGACACTAACTTCCAGTGCTGTACTAGTGCTGTATGCAATATAACGGAACAGGCGGTGCTTTTGATGCGCCCACGTAGTATACTACCGTGTAGGGGTTATATTTCACTGGAAATAAATTTCGCGAATTTCGCGTTTTCATTAAATTCGCAAAATTAAATTCCACAAAAGAGGTGTGGCACACTAGGAAAAATGGCTGCAGAAGGTAGGATTCGCGAAAATTTATACCAACAAATGGCAAATCTTGACAAATTTGCGAAATTTTATACCAACAAAATAAAACCCCTATACAGTATAAAGTTAGTGAATGCACAGTATGAACTCATTATAGAAATAGGAAAATTAGTACATGATGATAGCAGAGCAATTATGCTAAGCTGCCATTCAATAAGTGTAGGTTTCTGCTATGTGTGGACATTCTAAAATAAGGACACCTCTATAATGAGGACAGGTAGTATCAGTCCCAATACAATAGTAATGTGTATTAATGAACCTCTGAAATAAGGACAGGTTCATAATCATTTTTATTGGGTCCCAAGGTGTCCAGAATAGACAGGATTGACTGTACTGCATCATATACTCTGATATGAAAGCTAAAATAAAGAGCTTTTTATTTGTCTATAAAACCTAACCAGAACATGTTGCTGCACTTTGTAGGCATGCAATAGTTATAGTGTTTACTCTTTCAACTTAGGTAAACATACTACACAATATTACAGCAGTACTACATTATCAAAACAGTCACATGATATACTAATATTTACCTCAACATTGTGTGAAGGAATAGTGGGATGATTGTCGGGCAGAAACTAGATAATGGAAGAGAGTAATGTCAGCAATTGAATAACAATGTTAACATCATGTTAGGAGAAAAGTTCATTGAATACAATCTATAATTAAATTAATAATTAGATTACCTTACTCCTAGTAACATGATAGGGATTCTCCTCATTTATCAATCTACTACTAGTCAATAGTAAAGGTGATGTGTTGTTAGGACCTTCATTTCTTAACTCATGAACATCTTGATATCGATTGGTCTCAGCTTGTGGTTGTTGAATAGTAGCAAATTCTAAAGCAGCACTATTAAAATTTTAAAATTATATTAAACATTTACCAGAACGTATCAATACTCCTTTCATCTTTTTCCTCTTATTGACAATGATCACAGCACATACTACTAATATGATCAATATCAACAGTACACTACCACTGACTGTACCAGCCACAATAGGTACAATAATGTTATTATCATTCATTGTCTTGCCTATAATAATAAAGAACACATAACATAACTGTATGCATGAGTGTGTGCTAATACTTGTTGATGAAGTGGTTCCAGTTACATTAATACTAGTTGTCGTAGGACTAACAGTATTACTGACAGTAGACTGAGCAGGAGAAGCAGTACCTAATGAAGAGAAATATAATGAATTATTTCATTTATGTCATATTATATTTACTTTCACTCATAATACTAGAAGAGGAAAAAGTAGAAGGTATCACTTTAACAATCTCAACCAGTGTAGTATCTTGAACAGCAGGTCCATATAATGATCCTTTGACAATATCATAAACATATACATCATAAACTCCACTGGCTGATACTGTTACTATTGTACTGCCTGGTCCAGTTATAGTAAATGATTCAACTATTTCTTGATTAGTATCATTAAATATCACATGACATCCATCAGCAGTTGATCCTGATACAAACACACACTGTACACTAACTGACCCATCGGTATGTGGAGAACTGATGATAATATCTCGTGTATGGAATGTAGCTATTAATAAATAAAGTGTAATTAAATCAATGTTAATTATTAAAATCTTTCTTAGTAAAATTCTTACATATTGAAGCGTCGTAAGTTGCTTTGGTCTTTCCTCTAAGATTCTTAACAACAGCAGTTAGTTCATAATGTCTGAAAGGTGATAACTTGAATTCAATTATATGATCAGTTTCACTAATAATATCAGTAACTTCAGTGCTTCCATCCATTAGTGAAACAAGGCATTTTGATAGAGGACAACCAAGCTGTAAAGTATACAAAAATTATTAAAAATTATAATAAATAAAATAATTACTTCAAAAGAAATAGAAGGTATCAATGGCTGTGTGCCATATTCAGCAATTGAAAAGTCTAAAAACAATGATATCAATATCTATTTATATTTTCTTATATAATGTACTTACTTCCACTATTACTATCAATATCAGTTGATGTATATTGAGCCAGTATTACTGTTACACTGATATTAAATGTATCACATTTTGTGACATTAACAACTTTAATCTTTCTATTGGCAATAGTTTCATCCAGTATAATATCTCCATCTTCTTCATCAGTAACTAATACTTGATAGCTAACGGATGATCCAAAAGAAACATCATCAGAGTAGTAAACAGGACGTGACCATGTTATGAGCAATGAATTATTTGAAGTAAAATCATACTGGAGATCCTCAACTGATGATACACCTATAGTAAGCATTACGCTGTAAGAACATTAACTATAATAATGACATAACAAACCTCTGATGGTTAGGTTACAGTTTGATATGACACGATCAAAAGGATTAAAAGTAATAACTTCACATCCAATTCCCAGTCCATCATTATCAGGTATAGAATTAACAGTCAGTACTGATGAGAAGTTAGTATTATTAACAGTGGTAGTGACTATTATTTCTCTTTCTTGTTCAATGGAGTCGGTTAATGGAGCACTTTGAATCCACCAATTCACTCTGTCTCCATTTCCCTCACAATTAAATGTTGCTG